AGTTGTAACAAAGAAACAAGTAAAGCTATCGCGCTAACAACACAAAAGGGAACACATTACGCAGTCATGAACTGTAAGGAAAATAAAAGAACGAAACGTCCGCGAGATAACTTTGAATATATTTGGATTCGAAAGCAGGGAGATGACGTAACATAGAAAATACCACATAAACTACCAAAACGACATAGCGCGACTACGCTTAATCAATAACGATATTCTCGATATTCTTGCTTGTAGCCGCTGCGACCTCCCCTTCTTCAGCCGCCCTCGCCGCCCTGACCTCGTCTTCCTCCGTCTCGGGCTCAGAGTCTGCGTCAAGGGATTTCTTCTCACCCAACCATTGCTGCACATGGCAAACCATGGCGCGGGTATTCCAGCGGATTCCAGGGTTATCTGGCCGCACCTTCTTGCGGACCGCAATTACAGCCTTAGTCATGGCGTCCGCCAACAACTTGGCGAACGCAGTAGAAGACTTGTACTGGAGGACCTCATTAGCCTGTGCTGTGCGCACAACTTCCGCCTTGTCTCAACATCTCCGCGTGATCGGTCTCCATACGCCTCTTTTCCTGAGCGCGTTCATCCGCCAACTGCTTCCGCTCCTCCTCAAACTCCCTCCTCGGCTCCTCCCGAATAGAAGCCCGCTCCTCCGCCCAGACCTGCTCCTTCACAGTCGCCACATCCTCCGTCAGTTTCCTTTGCAGAAGGCCTCATTGGCCTTATTGGTATCCACTTCTGTGCGTCCCTCTGCGCCAACAAGCTTTCCTTCCAGCTGCACGGCCCTTGACATCTAGGCCTTCAAGGCCACAATGTTCCGGGCCCGCTCATGTTGGGCTCGGAAGGTCGCCCGCAAGCCCTACATCCGCAACGCCAAAGAACTTAAAGAAAAATATGAGTTGACAAAAAATAAAAGAAAACACACATGGGCACAAGAGCCCGTAGGGCGATTTGCGCGGCCGGGCTATTACAAGCAGCACCAGTATGGATCCGGTCGCGGAAGTAGTGAACAGTAGCCGTCCCAAACCCGGGCATCTCAGGCAACGTCTACTGAACAGTTGCACCGGAAGAACTACCCGGGACCGACTTTTTGGGACGCGGCGGCTTGCTCGCCCGCGTCTCCTTCTCAACAATGTCCCGGGGCGACTTCTCCGTTGTTCACGGCGCTTTTGAAACCCTCTCCGTGACAGCGGACTGCTCCACCTCATCCCTCTTCGCGGTTGTGGACCGCTCAGTCTCCTTCCTCTTCTTATCCGCACGCGGCGCCCGGGGTGGCTTCATCACGTCGTCCATAGACATCATGCTCCCCAGGGAAGAGAAATCAACACCTACGCTAATAGATCATAAGAGGCCCATTAATATAACAGAATACAAATGAAAAGGGAAAATAACTAACCATCTCCAAAGAGTTCTGCTAAACACCCCGCACGGACCCCGCTGGCGTACAGAATGATTTTCTCTTCAAGGCACGCCTTATACTTCTCCTCGAGCCCATCGTACGCGCCCACTTCCGATTCAAACCCACTTATACTCCCCTTCTTCCAGACCGTGGGCTCCTCCACATACTCGCTAGCCCACTCCCCCAGAGCAGGCCTCACGAAAAAAACCCGCCCGAACCAGTTCTTCTCGAGTTTGAGTGAGCTGTACACGTAACCATCAGGCCTTTTATCCCAGCACTAAATGGAAAGACAGTTTCTCTTCTCCGTCGGCTCCTTTATCTTGTATATTTTGCGGAACAAGCCATATGATGGTTGCATGTTGAGCCTTTGGCACACGAGGCGGAGACACGACGCGTGCATGATCACGGACGGAGACAGACGCGCAACGGAGCATTTAAGGCGTGTGTACAGCGCGCACATCAACGGATCAATGGGTAACTTGAAGCCCATTCTCCAATACTCAGAGTATACCCCAAACCACCCAGTAGGGCAATTCTCAATTCGACTCCACGATGTCGGAACTGCATACTGCCAGTTGGGGGCAACCCCAACCCGAGCACTAGTTCTGACAACTCCTTCCGCCCGTAGACATACACGTGATCAGGCCCGCGCACAAGGTTGTCATTCGGTGCCGGATCTGGGCCAAACATCTTTTCCCAGTCCAAAATTGTCTAAGTTGCACCCACTCCATGAACGCCAAGCCGGCTCATGGCTTTAGTCACCCGCGAGACACAGACCGCCTCTGATAAGGTGTCAGGGGCCTCTAGCGGGTCGACATTAACAGAACTAGGACCGCTGGCGCGGTCACGACGGATTATCAACACCCCACGAGTGCACGTGCTTGACTCGCCACCCGTATGCCCTAGCATACCTACATCGGAGGAGCTGTGCAGGTGATCTCGTCCAGAATTAACGTCATACGACGGCATCACCAAAACTCCCTCATCATCATCATCTCTATCGTCGTTTCCGTTGCTGGAATCGGCCAGATCCAATGAAGGATAAGTAGAAAGATGCGAAAGAGGGGAAAGATTACATTCTTCGTCTTGCACGACCTCAATCTCGTTGTTTACACCGTTGATGGCCATCGTACTCTTAAGTATTAGCAATGAAAAACTGGAAAAATAAGGTTGTGGGAGAAGGAGAGGAATCTCTACAACGGAGGAAAACATAGAAAGGAGAGGAATTCTCGAAGTAGAAGTTCGAAAGGAGATAATGACTCTCCCCTCGACGAAACAGGAGTATTTATAGCCAAAGAAGGGAAGCTGAACGGTTAAAGCTACATCGAGAATCGTAACCGTGTCCAATCAACAATTTTGAATTTCAAAAATCGTCGGCCAAACGAGTAAATGATATGATTCCACGTCGACACCTATAAAGTACAGGCTCTAGGCGGTGTCGTCACAACTTGCACACACTGCCTGGGGGGGCATGGTATACCCGTGGAAAGGAAAAAAACACACTCGATATCAGTTCTAGTCGCGGAAGAAGAAAATTGGGAAACTTCTTCGTACAGGAGGATCAGTCGCGCACAACCATGCCTAAGAACACGTGTGGAGATCACGCAGACCCGAGCCCATCGCGTGGAGGTTAAACAGGCGACATTCGCAGAATACACCCTAATGGGGGGGGCAATTGTTGGGGGTATGACTCGGGTCTAGTTGCACCATCGCGCTCAAGATAAGAAGTAACTCGCAGAAAGACCACAACCGTGGAAAGGACTACACTCGGGATCGGGTTCCGCGAGACGGGACATGCCCACAAGTACCAAAGCGCCAAACGGCGTCGTTTTGCTCAACTCAGGCCGGATCAAGAAGCCAAGAAACGACATCGTATTCCCTAAAGAGTGGTCACATCCTAGTCCTAGGTATAACCATGGACTAAGTGTCTAGCACTAGGCATAGTCATGGCCTAAGCGTCTGACAAATTCAGTAGTCATGTCGCATTAAATACCCACCCACCACAATGTAGCCTATAAATACGACATTTACTCAAGTGGGTAAGGGGATCACATTTTTACCCTCTCACTCTATAAAATCAACTTCTCTCTCTAAGATCTCCTCTCCCCCGATCACAGCTGTTCGTAATCTCATTCCAGTGGAAGGAAAGAAGATCTTGTTGCTTACTCTCCTCATTCACCCTTTTACTCGAGTCTCACTCCCTCAGTTAGACTCTAACAGTCTGCTATACACTTTTAACGGTTTGAGTTGGGTTTGAATTGAGTCAAATTTAGGTAGACAAATAAGAGTGAGACCCAAATGGATCTATATTGGTCCAGATGATTGGGAAGAAAAAAAAGTCAAAGATGGGATCCTTGGTTGATTTAACCTTCCACAGTAAACAAAATTTGGACAAATAGCGATGGAAGTTTCAGACAACATTACATAAAGATATCCACATCTGATCTCCGTCTTTGTCCTTCTTATCTTTCAAACCGCAGGAGCCAAAACTAATACAGCAAGCCAAAGAGAGAAAGGACACACAAACCACTACTTCCAAAAACAACCTGCTCATATTATGGTCAAAGTATGCACCACAATGCTAATTGGCCGCCGACAGAGAGACGAACACAAATGCTGATGAATGAGAATATATTAACGAGACTTTGATCATAACTTGTCGAACGCTAACCTTTCCATTCCTCCCTCGCCATATCTTCTCCACCAATCTGACAATCCAAGTCACTTGCACTTTGGGGAATTACTTGTAAGCATTTTTATTTATTACCAGGAACCTCAGTTACACGTGTCACTTTGTGACAGCGGGTCCTACTAAATTTGGGAGCCACATGCAATTAAATTCGACGCCAACGGAGCTTCGCCCCCATCAACCTTGTACCTCCGGAAACACCAACGGGCCTCGCTTGGATTCGAACCTGGGATCTACACCTCCCAAACCTTCACTGCCGTGGCAGCTTTACCGTTAGACTATCTATCTTACATTTGGTTGGATTACTTGTAAGCATTATCAACTAGAGATGACAATCAAACACATCACCGCGCGGGTACCCGATCGTCCCAGTCAACGCGGGGAATTTCCGCATTGACCAGGTATGGGGCGGGTATGGGTAAAACCCGCACAAAGTTTGATGGGTATGGGGCGGGTATGATTTTAGCCTCCCCCGCCCCATACCCACCCCATTAAGAATATTTCTTCACATATAAAAAAATTCATGGATTCAATTGAAACCTATCAATAATAGTGAAGGTAACTTAAGATAATATATAGTAGAGTTGCAATTGATTGGTCACCAAAATCCAAATCTAAATCTAATTCCTTTACGTCAATTCTCCCTGCATTTTTTCATTTTCCCCTCTTGTTAACAAGATAATTATGTTAGTTAAGTATTACATAATAGATGTATCAAAATTAGAAATTAATGAATTGGAAAATATTGGCTAAATTGCAAGTTTGGTCACTCGAATTGCGACAAAATTTCACGTTTGTTCACTCGAATTGCGACAAAATTTCACGTTTGGTCACTCGAATTGGTTTATTCTATTAGTAGTCAGTTAAATTAATTGAACAGTCCAAATTCGGTAACTCTCCGATAACTTCTATTAGACTCCGTTAACGGAGGCCGTTAAGTGATGACGTGGCAAATGGAAAATCCTAGTCAACTCAATTTAACACTAAAAAATGATGACCCGACCCGACACGTCAATACAAACGGAGAGAGCAGGGGAATGTCTCTGCTTCACCCCTTCCTTCTTCCCTCCGCCGCCGCCGCTACATTTAATCAGGATATCGTGATGGATCCCTGTCTCACAGAATTGAGCTTGAGTGGAGTACAGGGTGTTCCGGAACAATGCTCCTGCCGCGAAATCAAGCTCGATTTTGCCGCGGCGCCCGGCGCCGCCTTCAACAACTTCCTGGATAAAATGGCGGATTCATCGGCCAGATTTGCCGAGGATGAGTACAATTTCGGAATCGACAACTACGACGACATAGAACCCATCGAGGGGATCGGGGCCGGCGGTGTCGTAGCGGGCGGAGGAGAGATCCCAGTAGACATCGAATTTGGAATGGGGGTGATCAATTGACCGGTTGGCCTTCTTCTTGCGGAAGAGGTCGGAGCTGGTGTTGAGCTTGAAGGTGGATGACGAGCCGGTGGAGATGGTGAGCCAGTCTGCGGCCCATGTGACGGACAAGAGGAGGGGCTTCTTGTGGGAGGAGGAGAGGGTGATTCAGTAGAGGGAAAAGACGACATTCTGGACGGAAGGGGTGGAAGCGGCGGAGGAAGAAGCATCAACGGCGGTTACAGGGGTGGAGATCACGGCAGCGGCGGAGGAGGAGCAGGAGAAGGAGTAGTGATGATGGGTTTGTTGTTTAGAGGCGACGTTGATGGCATTTTCGGTAAAGTAGGACACAAAGTCTCTGATTCTGGTGGAGAGGGAGGGAGACAACGGAAACTGTGGGATTGGGTTTCAATGTAATGTTTAATGGTTTAGAGCGAGAGAGAGAGCTACGGAGGCGGAGGTTTCAGAGTAACCGAAGGAGGAAGAGGAAATGTGGGAGCGTGATTGCTGATGTGGAAGAGGTCCAGATCTGTGAGGAGGCCGAGCTCGGAGGGAGCTACCCGGCGAAGACTTGGAGCTTGGGGTTGGTCAGGTCTTGGGTTTGGTCTTGGTTTGGCTCGTGGGTTGGACATGGAGGGATGACATAGCGGGTAAATATGACGTGTCGTGTCGGGTCGTCGTTTTTTAGTGATAAATTGAGATTACTGGGATTTTCCGTTTGCCAATTCATCACTTAACGACCTCCTTTAACGGAGTCTAATGGAGGTTAACGGAGAGTGACCGAACTTCGACTGTTCAACTAATTTAAGTGACTATTAATTAAATAAATCAATTCGAGTGACCAAACATGAAATTTTGTAGCAATTCGAGTGATCAAACTTGCAAATAAGCCGGAAAATATTATACTCTTTTTTTTTTTTACAATCGGAAAATATTATACTCTATCTTATGGATTAATAGATGCTTTATGATCATACGATTTGAACCATATTAAGAATGATTGTATCTTTGTTGACTTAATGATATAATATGTCTATTTAGCGTTATAACTGAAATTTTACACGTAAAGTCTTAGGTATAATGATGTTGGATGTACGGGGCGGGTATTACCCATGGGTACCCGAAACCCACGCGTATGGGGATGAGTTTGAATAAACTTCACCCGTACGGGCATGGGGCGGGTACGGGTTTGGATGTTTGAAAGCGGAAATATGGATGGTTTAGGTCAACTCTCCCATCGCCATCCCTATTATCAACTGTGTGTATTATCATTGATGTAAGACCACCCACTATGGAGGGTGCGAAGAAGAAAAAATGGGTATTTTTTAAAGGGGGCTCACAGTGGGTGTTGAAAAAGAGGGAAAGAATGATTATTTGGGTGGGTTTTCCCCCACAACCGGACAAGAGGAGGGGGAGTAGACTGGCGGTGTCTGCTTCACTTGAATTTTTTATTATAAGAAAGGTAAAAGAAAATAGAAATTTAAAAAATAAATTTTTTATTTCCTGCTCGCTGACGTGGCAGGTGAGGTGTACATTGACTAACGGTCAAACCCGCCTCCAGGCTAAATGAGGAAGTTTGCTATGTAGTTCAGACCAGAATAGCAATTTCCAATACCACGTGGCAAAGTAGAAAGTCTGTGTATAGTTCGGGTCAAACTAAGGTATTAACCCTAATTATTACTACCTATATAAAAAGAACAATCAAATTATTTAACTAAAGTGACAAAATCAACACTAAATCATATTCATCAAAAAACACCTCTCCCACTTTTCCATCTTTTCCCTCCCAACTCATTGTGGGGTTTCCTACCCTCAAACCCAAAAAAACTCAAATTCCCCCCCCCCCCCCCACCCAAATTTCCTACCCAACCATTGTGGATGGTCTAAGGGTATATTTATACCCATAAGACTACCGAGTACAAGTATGATAAGTAGACAATTTACATAAGGAATACAGAATACAAATCCTACGACTACTACAAGGACAAAGACTTGTCCCTAATACGCCCCCACGATACTCAGCCTCGGTGTTGGAGAGAGATACAGTACACTGCTTCTTAGATTTCAAGGAAATGAGTGTGTCACCCAAGTAAACAAGGAACCCCGAGGTGGACGTGCGATCATCAAAATCCCCATCCCATCCCGAGTTCGCAAAGACACACAAGGAAAGAGGAGAAGACAACCGACGAACGTGAAGGCCTAGCGTACTCGTCCCAGCAAGATATCGCAAGAGACGCTTAACATGCTGCTAGTGAACAGTGGTGGGGGCATGCATGAACTGGGAAAACTTGTTGACGGCAAAGGCAACATCCGGACGAGTAGTAAGCAAGTACTACAGAGCACCCATGACCTGACGATATAGAGTACTAGCTGTTGGGTCCGAGCCATCAGCTAGAGTGAGGCGTGTAGTGGACGCAATAGGAGTAGCCGCGGATTTAGCATCATGCATCTGAAACCGATGAAGAATGTCCAAAATGTACTTGTGTTGGGATAGTAAATAGCCAGATGGGGTGCGGATAATCTCAATACGAAGGAAATAGGTGGCGCCAAGGCTTTTGAGAGAAAACCGAGATGACACTTGAGTCTCGAACTGCTGTAGAAACTCCGGGTTGTTACCAGTGAGTAGCAAATCATCAACATACATAAGTAAGTAGGCAAGGATACAACCGTTGCTGTAGACAAAGAGAGATGCATCTGAACTAGTCTTACGAAAACCGCACTCCTCGAGAAATGCACTAAGAGCATCATACCAGGCTCGCGAAGCCTGCTTCAGGCCGTAGATGGCCTACGGAAGATGACAGTCATGTTGGGGACGTTGAGGATCGGCAAAACCTGATGGTTGAGACATGTAAACAATTTTTTGGAGGGGGCCTTGCAAGAATGCATTCTTGACGTCGAACTGCAAAACTAGCCATTGCTGGGACAGAGCATGAGTGAACACTGTACAAATAGTGATAAGCTTGAGAAACGGACTTTAAGTCTAAAAAAAATCAACACTAGGCACTGATGGAAGCCCTTGGCAACTAGACGAGCCTTAAAGCACTCGAGGGTACCATCCGGAGTATGTTTGATGTGATATATCCAACGGTTGCTGGCGACGTTGAAGTGAGGCTGACGAGGAACAAAATCCCATGTACGTTTGGAACATAAAGCATCAAATTCTTCATGCATAGCTCGATTCGGCGATTCCAATGAGGACACCGCAAGTCTTCATAACTGTACGAGGAAGCTGTAGGAGAGTGGCATGCGACGTAGCATATGCTGCAAAATAGCAAGGGTTAGTCTTACGAATGTTGTCACAACCTCTAGTGACCATGGGGTGCCGAACAAGCGGCGGAGGAACTGGAGCAGAGATATCCTCAATAGCCGGTGGTGGTGACGCAATATGTGGCATCATTGGCAAGGACGAAGGAGAGGACTCAGGCAAAGTCGCTGGTGGCGGCGAGGCTGCTGGCAACGGCATGTACGTGAGAGGAGGGGTAGTGGCAGTAAGCCAGACAAGAGGATCAACAAGCGGAGATAAAGAAGGGACACCAGGAAACTCAGTTTCAACAAAGACAACATGACGGGAAAAGTAGACACGATTTTGGTGAGGGTCGAAACACTTGTAAGCACGTTGTTGATGAGAATAACCAAGAAAAATACAGGGACGAGATCGAGACTTTAATTTGTGAGCACTGCACGGGCAAAGCTAATGAAAACAGAGACAATAAAAAATATGAAGTTTAGTGAAATGAGGAGGCTCATTGAACAGTTCCTGAAACGGGATACGACCACAAAGAGTAGAGGAAGGGAGGCAATTAATAAGATAGACAGCAGGTGTGAACGCATATGACCAGTAAGAAAGGGGTAACTTAGCTTGATGAAGGAGAGACATGCCAGTTTCAACAATATGTCGATTCATACGTTTGGCTAGGCCATTGTGTCCAGGAATGTGAGGTGGGATGAGAAGATGAGTAATACCACTAGAAATTAAAGTGGATTTGAGTTTTTGAAATTCACCACCACCGTCAGTGTAAAGACGCTTAATACGAGTCGAAAAATAATTCTCAACAAGTTTTTGAAAGGCAATGAATGTGGCGAAGACATCAAACTTAGGGGTGTTCAAACGGTGTGGTTACCATGGTAACCGTTTTAACCAGTACTATTTGGATAGTCTGGTTTGGTTAATTTTGATAATTGGTTTGGTTTGGTTAAAGTTCTTAGCTTGTTTGGTTTAGGTGGTTTGGTTTGGTTTCAGACACTCCTAACCAGCCAAACCAAAATAACCAGATAAATGATTAGCCATATATCTAATATATACACATACTTAATACTTTGAATAACCACTCAAGAGTTAAACATTCATCCCTTTTAGACTCATAAAATATAAAGCTTGATATTGTTCCTATAATGTATATTTGTATATGTAGAGTGTAGACCACAACATATGAACGCCTAGTTTAGATAAATCTCATACATTATGTTGGATGAAAACTTGAAAACAAGGTCCTTTTCAGCCTATGAAAATTGCTAAAAGACTATGTCAATTCAAACAAACACAACAATTCATTAACCTATACCATTGTGATAAATTTTTGTTAGGTGAATACTTCTATACTAACCGTAAGATAATTGTCTTAGTTGCATGTATTTATGTTAAGGGTCAACTATAACTATGTGTTGATTGTTATGTTTTATTCATTATATAAATTGTGAATTGATAAATTAACCAAAAACTTTCTCACTTAATGATAATATGATTTTATATTGGTTAATCTGGTTAACCAATTAACCAAACCGATTAAACTTTAGTTTGGTTAATTTGGTTGTTGTATTAATTTGGACGGTTTAGTTATGATATTGTATTCCATGGTAATGAAATTTAGCCTTATTTGGTTTGGTAATAACCATGGTAACCATTTGAACACCCCTAATCAAACTTGTAGCAAAGAGGATAGAGCCAAGTAAATGGTCCACAATAACTAGGTAATAAGAGAAACCATCAACAGACGAGACAAGAGCAGGGCCTCATACATAAGAAAATAGTAAATCAAACGGACGAGTACTAGACAAACTGGAATCAGAAAACGGTAGTTTATGACTCTTACTAGAAAGACAAGACGTACAAGGGGAAACAGAGGACTTAGGGTGGGCAAGGATGGGATCAGTATGAATTAAACGATGGATGACCAAAACGACGATGCTAGCAATCTATAGAGTTCCGAGTAGTGACCAGCCCCATTCGCACAGCCTGCGACGCACCTAGAAGCTCGTAGGTATCTTCTCTATTCCTTCCTTTCAATAGTGGCATCCCGTGCTTAGGTCTTTCACAACAAAAGATTCGGCAAAAAATTCAACCGAAACAGGAATAGTGAGACAAAGCTTAGCAACAGAGCTCAAACGCTTCTTGAGAGCAGGAACACAAAGGATGTCATGAAGAGTAAGCGACTTGGAACCAGACGAACAAAGAGAAGATGAACCAATATGTGTGATACGCAAACCTGTTACATCTCCAAGATAGAGCTTGTTGGGTCCATTGTCGTCAGAACAGAGCCCGAGATTACCAAGATCGGGAGTAATATGGTGCATAGCAGCATTATCCATTAGCCACAGATTAGAACGAGAAGCGGATGAAGAAGAACACCAGAAGTATGGTTAGCCCGAGTTGGACGCTACTGAGGAAAGAGTAGGAAGCACTAGCGAGCAGAATGGATAGACTTCTCATAGTATTGACAATAGATGTGAGGGCGACGTTGATTGCTGCCGGAGTCGATCAAGGAAGGAGACCAGGAGACAGACTGGGACGACGAACTAGAAGGTGGTGGATCACCAGAACCGGAGCGGTCACCGCCGCGGCCAGAGAGTCCACCACGTCGACCACGATACAAGCCACGCCCGCATTGGGTGGCAAAGGCAGTAGCGGGCTGGCGAGTGACATTGACATTAGCCTCCAATGAGATAAGGTGATCAAGGAGGTCCTCTAAAGAGGGAGGGTCTTCTCGTGCCCGAATACCAGCAGAGAATTCGCGATCGCCATCTCAGAAACCACGAAGACAGACAGTGACAAATTCATCATTGAGAATAGGGGAACCAGCGAGAGTCATCTCGGATGCAATCGAGTAAAGACACTGGAAAAACGTGACCACATCATGGTCACCCTTCTTTTCAGCAATTAACCGATCATGGAGCGTCATAACATGTGAACGAGAGTTTTTCGCATAAAGGCGAAGCAGAAAGGTCCAGGCTTCAGCAGCCGTAGAAAAAGTGCTGATGAAAGGGATGACAGCTTCGAAAACTGACGCAAGAATACCGTTCAGGAGAAGCTGATCTTGTCTGAACCACTGAGTGTAGGCGGGGTTCTGAATAGAGTTGCCATCAACCACCATGGTCGAAGCAGGTTGGAGGAAAGTGTCGTCGAGATGACCAACGAGGTCGAGGCCGTGAAGGAGCGAGAATACTGGGCGCGCTAGGAGGGAAAGTTGGCAGTGGTGAGCTTGAGCGGGAGAGACGCAGTTGGGTTAAACATTACCAGCGCAGGTAGCTCAGCTTCGACTGCCGCAGGAGTAGTTCCGGAAGAAACAGACCTGTCGTACATGATGATGAACACAGAAAACATAAACTGATGGGATTTAGGGTTTAATGGATCAGTAGGCTGTTAAGCAAGATGTTCTGATACCATATAAGGATTATCAACAGTGTGTATTATCATTGATACAAGGGTATATTTATACTATAAGATTACAGAGTACAAGTATGATAAGTAGACAATTTACAGAAGGAATATGAAATACAAATCCTACTACTACAACGACAAAGACTTGTCCCTAATATTACTCACTGAACTAAGACTATGGAGAATGTATAGGGAGGCATCAGAGGTTCTTGGTTTTTGTCAACGAGTCTATTTCAGCTTCAGAATTCGAGACAGATCACAAAGCTTGGAGACAATGTGACGCGATGGTTAAAGGTTGGCTCAAAGCAGCCATGAGTAAGGAAGTCGTAGCACTGTACCATTTGCAATGACGGCTATAGGGAGATTTGGGTTGATCTCCAAACCCGATCTGGTCACGACATCGCTCCACGTCTATACGAGCTTCGTTGAACAATCAACTCTGTTCAGCAAGAAAAAAAATCCTCTGTAGCGGCCTTCTTCAATTCACTAAATTATGTGGTCTAAGTTCCAACGCTTATATCTTATGAGGGAATTGAGCAATATTTTGTTGTTGGGATTTTCTCCTAGTGGCATAAAAAATATTGTCAATGAAAATCCTCCAATAATATATGATAGAGTTTTGTGTACTTTTCTTCATTTCAAATTTCTTGCAACGAGAGTGAAAGTAGAAAGGACATTTTTGTCTTTACAATTAATTATTTATCTCACATAAAAAATATCAATATCAAGATTTGAACTCGAGTCCCTTCAAACAAAGACAACAATCACAACCATTTACACTAAACAAATTTGTTGTATCTTTTTGAAAACAAAACATACACGAAGTTCAACTCTCTAAAAATCGGAGGACTTCTCCATCATGATTAGCAAGCTCACTAAGTCTACCGTATGTATTTTTATGGTGCTTGATACTTCAATTTTCATAGTAGAGTTTCATGTAATTTTCTCAATTTTAAAATTCTTTCTCTCTCCTTAATTTTCTCAAAAGGTAAATTGGTAATTGGCTAGCATGAAAAATATTAATTTTTTATTACGTGTTGTGTCATTGCATTTTTCAATTTAAATTTTGTGCTTTTATCTGTGTTTTTATCTTTTTCTAACTTACTCGGAAATTCCCTCCATCATACAATAGTTTGCACCCCTTTCACTTCCCAGTAGAAGGCCGCCTTTGAAAATTAATCATCCGATATCTCTTGGCATGACGATTTTATTGTTGATGATTTAAGTTAGGAAAGTAAAAGAGTAATAAATAATGGAGTTGCAGAAGGATTATAAATTGAATTTTTGATTGAATCATATGTCTTTTGAGATAATAAAAAAATTGGTTGTACTACGGAGTGGTGGTCATTGGATCTTTATGTTTATGATTTTTGCATTTATCACAACCTATTTTTATCTTAAAACGGGGAATCATTGATTGATTTACTGAAGTAGGTCGATTCTTTATTCAACCTACTGGAACTGATAGATAAGAAGTGTCTAATTTTGTGTCGTATTACTTTGATTGAGTCTATTATTATGTTGGAGGTAATCCTAATTTTGTCGTCTGTTCTCAAGTTTTGATGATCCCCTATTAGCTGAGTTGTTATTATATAGTTGACTTGAATCAATAACTCTCAATTTCTTTTTGATTAGTGGCATATTGTTCCTAAAAAGAGCGCATTGAACCCTTATGTAGGATTGTGAAGTTTAAGATTTAGTTTCAAACTATCTATGGGTCGTGTGGAATTTCACCGAGATTTTATACTCTCTTTCTTGACAATCAACTAACCAATAGCACTTTAACGGGGTTTAATTATCATTATGAAAATGGAATTAATGATACATTTTATATTCTTAAATAATGACGGTATTTCTCCAAATGTTCGACCTATATTTTTTTTTCTTTATGTATCATCTCGATCAAAGAATTGTCAATAAAATTAAACGGATCGATTGACTTAACCGTATCATAAAAATATAAATAATCAAATATAAATATTCCGGTCAATGGGCCGCATTATAAACTAGTTACATTATACTATAAAATTTGTACTCGCTAATTAAAATAAGTAACTAAATGAATTTATGTTATTGAATTCCAATTTTTCATTATTTTATTGATTATGAACAAAACATATAAAATTTGTACTCGCTATTTAAAATAAGTAACTAAATGAAGTTATGTTATTGAATTCCAATTTTTCATTATTTTATTGAATTATGAACAAAACATATTTTTGTTTTCATTTTTGTATTGTTTCTATTCATTCCATATTATCACAGCATCAACGACAACACAACAATATGACAACAATACTAAACGGAGTTTAAGGTTATATTTACCATTGAGATTTATAAATAGATGTATTGTTGTGAATACATGTATAATATTAAACATGTATTGTTAAATTTGATGCATTGTAAGATACAATATTTGATATGTGTGATTGTGTATGTCACGTTAGTTATGTGAGATGAAACAATCTTAAATACTAACTCAGATATAACAATCACTACATTGCTTGAGCGATGACGGAGCGAGACCAAATTTGGGGGTTCACCTGCTTGAACTCTTGGGACCCTCCACAAAGAATCTCCATTGCCACACCTCCTCGAACAAGACAACAAGCCCCGAGGGGGTTCGAACTCGGGATCTACAACTTCCTGGAACGAATGACCATAAGGGTTTAAACCAGCTGGGCTATGTGACCATTGACATAAGGTGCTACAAAAACTACACGACCATAAGGGTTTAAACCAGCTGGGCTATGTGACCATTGACATAAGGTGCTACAAAAACTACACGACCATAAGGGTTTAAACCAACTGGGCTATGTGACCATTGACATAAGGTGCTACAAAAACTACACGCGGCCACCGTGGACCGAATCAGGGACTTTGTCCCAAAGTTATCACACGAACAGGCAGCACTGCCACTTGAGCTACAACCCATCAACAACAATCGCTCATTTTGAGTGATAGTTTCTTTCAACAAATTCATCCGTCAGAAAATGTAAGTAGAACGTATACGGCATTGCACAAATTGGTGATCCATTTTGATGGGCTTAGAATCTGGGCGCGACCCAAATGCAACAGAAAGGAGAGCGGGAAGAACTTTGAAAGTGCGGGCTCATAGATTAGAAGGCCCAGCAAATGGAAATTTAGTCCTGAGGTAAAGCAATAGGCCCACAGTGAAATGGCCCGTCTTTCAGATGCAGGGTGCAGAAGAATAAAAAGTTAAAAATGATTTCGGTTGCATTCTATAATCGCCTCTCCGTAACTTTCTTCCTACACCGGCGACGGAGAATCTCATTTCCGATATCCAGGCCGGAAAGCAACGAAGAACGTCAGAAGAAGAAAAAGAAACCGGAATGAGTGTAGCCTACTTTCGATTGTTCCATTTTTCGATATTTTCACAATTGAACATCGATGGATTTTCATTCAGCTGAGCTTATTAGTCTACCGACGTCCTTGGCCGCCGAATCGAAATCGGCAGTGACAAGAACTGCAGAAAAACTGTGGGTAAGTTTCACTGGGATTTCCCTGTTGTGGATTGAGTTGAAGAGATTTCTGATCCCATGATTCTCGTTTTCATGACAGGGGAAAGTGATGGAGGAGGAAGCTGCTGCCCTTTTGGTAGGCTGCTAATTTTGTCTCTGCCTGCGTAAAAGGTAACCTTGCTGATCCCAACTGCTACTGAAATAATTGCTTAGAAGGTCAGATTTCTGCTGGGAATTGAGTCATTGAACAATCATTACCCGCCATCTTTTGGGCACCGTTCACATTTGGAGAAGCAACGGTACAATGGTTTTGTAGCTAAATTTGCGGCTCTTTTTTCTTTCAGAGACTTGCCTTACATCGTGTTCTTCATAACCAACTTGTCATCATCTTTACAGTTTATACTACATAGCCCAGGACCAAGAACGAGATTTGCATGTTCTGATTCTAAATATAGCCATAAAGCCTCTGCAAAAAGCTACCCATCTTATCTCTTGATGTAGAAATTGCATGTACTATATAACGAGTTGCTCTCCTACTTGAATAGCTACACAAGACATTCATTCTTTACTGAAGACACAACAAAGACACTGCTGTTTTTGCACTCCTTATGGATCCTAGAAAGTTTGTTCTTGTTGCCATCTCAGTGGCACTGCTTCTGGGACTGGCTCGCAGCTTCGAGTACCGCGCTGAGGACTTGGCGTCGGAAGATAAGCTGTGGGACTTGTACGAGAGATGGAGGAGCCACCACACGGTGTCTCGATCCCTCACCGAGAAGCAAGCGCGGTTCAATGTGTTCAAGGAGAATGTGAAGCACATCCACAAGGTGAACCAGAAGGACAAGCCTTACAAGCTGAAGCTCAACAGCTTTGCTGATATGACCAACCACGAGTTCGTGAAGCACTTCGGTGGATCGAAAGTCAGCCACTACAGGATGCTTCATGGCCCCCGGAGGCAAACCCCGTTCAGTCATGGAGAAACGGACAACGTTCCTGCGTCGGTTGATTGGAGGAAGAATGGTGCAGTGACTCCGATCAAGAATCAAGGCAAATGCGGTAAGTCAAATTTGTTTCTCCCCCCAATTTTGTGATGTGCTAGAGCAATCTGTTTATGTTGTTTAAACCATCCAAAATATGATTCATTGCTTCACAGGTAGCTGTTGGGCATTCTCGAGTGTTGCTGCGGTGGAAGGAATCAACAAGATCAAAACAGGGGAGCTGGTGTCGTTATCCGAGCAGGAGCTGGTGGACTGCAGCAAGGACAACCATGGCTGCGATGGAGGGATGATGGAGCAAGCTTTCCAGTTCATAGAGCAAGTTGGTGGGCTGACAACTGAGACTAACTACCCTTACGAAGCGAAGGACGAATCTTGCAACTCTGCCAAGGTTGAGACTTCGAAACGATCAAATTTTTGCTTTCCTCACATTTTTTGCTTATGAAAACTCCAAGCAACTTGTCTATTGCTTTTGTGCAGTTGAATGCTGCGGCGGTACAGATAGATGGTTACGAAATGGTGCCGGAGAACGATGAGAACGCACTGATGAAGGCCGCTGCCAACCAACCAATAGCCATCGCCATTGATGCTGGTGGCAAGGATCTCCAGTTCTATTCCGAGGCAAGACTCTACACTCTAGCTCTAGTCAGCTTCAACTTATTCCTTTTTTGTGGTTAGACGCGATCCCCTGATAAATTGTGACACTTGGTGAAAGCCACAAGGTGATAGACCATGATGCCTTAATCACAATGGATGGCAGTTCATCTATTACTGGTGCGGTGGTGTAGTGTTCATGGCGGTTCCCTTCATGAACAAACTGATAACAGAACTAAAACTTCACAAACAGTGAGGGTTTGGATTTGGATTGGGGTTGGGGTTGGGGTTCAGTCATTGTGGATTGTTCTGAAAAGGTCATGAGTCAAACGAGTCCAATCATATAAAGTCAGGTTATGTTAGGTCACGCATGTCACTAAAATGGGTTTCCATGCAGGGTGTTTTCACCGGAGACTGTGGGACGGAGCTGAACCACGGGGTGGCGCTTGTGGGCTACGGTTCGACCCTGGACGGGACGAAGTACTGGATCGTGAAGAACTCGTGGGGGACGGAATGGGGAGAGCAGGGTTTCATAAGGATGCAGCGAGGGGTAGATGCCGAAGAAGGGATCTGTGGGATAGCCATGGATGCCTGCTACCCTGTGAAGTCTACATCGACCAACAAGAAGAAACAAGGCTCACCTGCAGCTGGGAAGGATGAACTGTAGACGCGTATGTCTCCTCTCCTATTAAGTGAACTGCAAATAAAGAGAGGTTGAGAACACATTAGAATCGTGTTATAGTAAGTTTGGGGTCTTTGGATTTGTAGTAAGGTTTGTTTTTCAGGATTAAGAATAAAGACAGCATATATGTCGATGCTGGCGATGTTGGATTGTAATCAAGATGTATCACGATGTTACTTATAGCTACAAGAATTTCCTGTGCATCAATCTATTCCAATCACTATACAATCCTACTACCATAGCTATTTATAGAGAATATGAGTAACCCAGTAACCCTCAGGCCCTCATAAGTCATTTGTTTAACGGTCGAGTTCTATAATCATATGTGTCTTCAATCTAATTACAAATACAATAAATTTCTATATAATTCTCGACCTGCAATTTTTATATAATCGTTCGACTGTTATCTACTCCATTCCGTTATCCGTAGGTTGTAGGGACTTCAAAATTGTTTTGTAATCGTAACAAGCCCAACAAGTTGTTGGGTTGTTGTATAAGCAGAAGGGTGGGCCGGAGCTTCATACTGTTTGCTTGAGCCCGTCTAATTGCTGTATGAGCCCAATGCAGATTGTGAAGTCTACTCAATGGCCAAGACTACGGTGTCGTTCTAAAAAGTGCGGCACCGGTGACGCTGAATATGATTGGGCCACCGTGGAGCTGATGTGGCATTGAGTGGATTCATTTAACCCAAGCCCAAATATTAACCGAGCAATGAGCATGGGGCCATGCTCAAGATAGGGTGCATATAACCTATGGTTATGTACCCATCAATAAATAAATCTGGACCCTTCATTTAGAAAATCCAGGTCTAATGATGGAGAATTAAAGACCATTTTTATTTTTCTTAGTTTTCTTAATCAGCTCATATCTTCTTCGTGTTAACTTGGATTTTAATTTTTTTTTATCACGGATGGAACGAGTTCGTTGTGCTCTACAAAATGTGATCCATTTTCAATATTTTGTGAGAAAAAAAATTTGCTTGCCTCTCGGTACCAACTGCATACCATATGGTATTTTCTTCGTTTTTAATTTGTTTTTGAAAACGTTTGCACAGAAGGAACGAGTACATCATGATCTATTGGATCTACAAATTTCTGGGTGAACAAATTACAGGACCAAAAAATACCACACAATACCATACAATATCACCCTGATACGGGGTGGTATCTTGTGGTACACAATGTTAAAAGTCGTAAATAACAGTTAATATACTTCTACTATCATGTATTCGATCATCCTACAGTTTTGGTTTGTTCAACCATCATGGTACGCTTTTCAAACCATAGGCATGCTCTTATTACAATACCAGTCAATTCCATATGGTATAGACTGGTAAAAAATTGCTCAATTTTTTTGTTCAAAAAATATATCAAAGTGGATATAATTTTGAAGAGCATAATTAATCTAATCTAACTGTGAAAAAAAATTAAATTTCGACTTAAAACGAGTTAGTAATCGCCCGTCAAAGTTTAAGGAGGAGAAAATTAAATGCTTTCTAGGAGAGAGAGGGATGCTGATGTCATGCTGATATGGACGGGTTACTCATGGTTACTCAACATAAGGTTACTGACCTGATCCATTCCCTGGGGGCCCTGCTACCGTCAAATTAACGGGGAGCAGATCCAGATCCGGTGAGTAACCCCATGCATAACCCAATAAGAATCCGCCACATCAGCGCTTCCTTCTCTCTCCTAGAAAAATCATTAATTTTCTTTCCCTTAATCTTTAACGGACGATTTCTCACTCGTTTTAACTCGGAATTTAATTTTTTTTGCACAGTTAGATCAGATTAATTGTGCTTTTCAAAATGATATCCACTTTGATATTTTTTGGAACACAATTTTTTTCCAGGTATTACCAGTCAATACCATATGGTATTGACTAGTATTAAATAACAACATACCATATGGTATGAAAAATACCACCTCATACCAGGGTGGTATAGTATAGTATGGAGTTGGTAACGATTCAAAATGATATCCACTTTGATATTTTTTGGAACAAAAAAAATTTGCCAGTTATTACCAGTCAATACCATATGATATTGACTGGTATAAAATAACAGCATATCATAGGGTATGAAAAATACCACCTCATACCAAGGTGGTATAGTATGGTATGGAGTTGGTAACGAGAGGTATGGAATTTTTTCCCCCAAAAAATTTTGAAATCCAATAGATCATGATTAAATTGTTCCTTTTGTGCAAAAATTTCCGACAATGACTAAACAACGAAGGAGATACCATATGGTATGGAGTTGGTACGAGAGGGATGAAAAAAAAAATTCTCAAAAAATATTGAAAATGGATATCATTTTGTAGAGCACAACGAACTCGTTCCATCTGTGCAAAAAAAAAAAAATTTGAAATCCGAGTTAGAATGAAAAAGATATGATCCAATTAAGAAAACTAGAAAAAATAAATTCCTTTAATTCTCCACCCTTAGATCTGTAGCCACTTAAAAGAAGGGTCCAGATTTGGTTACTCATTGTTACTCACCCTATCTTGAGCCAAACTAACGGGTGTTAGATTTCATTTAGTTGCATTCAAAGCAAACCCAAAGACTTCTCCTCCATCTCCCGGTCGTCTGATTTTGAAAAGAGTTCAGTGTCCGGCAAACTCCACAGTTGCCGATCCAAATTCCATCCCTATACTAAGTCTTCACTGAATTCCTCCTCCCCCATTGATCGTGTAAAAATAAAACATGAATCCCTTTTTCGAGCGACCCTTTGTCCTAATTCATAGAAGATTTGTGGAGTTCAAAGTTGTAAATCGCTTGTGTCTGCCCGCTGAAGTCCCTATGGTGGAGACTGGAGAGTGGAACTATTGGCTTCCTAGGATAAGTGAGCGGCCTATTTTATCTACATACTGATGTATTTACCTACTTGTTTGTATCTCTAATGTTTCTGATCAGTACTTCTCTAATTTTTGTTTGATTTTGTCACCTCCCTGAAGACACGTTAATCTGTATTGTTTTCTATAACTGTCAAATGACGGGTCTTGTAATTGGTTGTCTAAAGGAAGAACATATTGCTATGAATGTAATCCCAAACCTTCTCTTGTTTACACAATTACAACATTCCATCAAAGGTACTTGTCAAGTGAATTGAGCATTTCGGTTTCAATATAGTGCTGGTCAAATCTTTCTTTCTGAATGAACACTTGCTGAATGCTGAGTCTGTTTCTTTATTGCTAGTATAAATTAATAGATTTTGTGTAAGCTGCATCTGAATTGAAGTTATCGTACGTGTTTAACTTGCTCCTCGTTTCAAAATGCAGTTTGTTCAATGTATTGTTTACAGGTTATAACATTATTGACTTCAAACAAAGAGTTGATAAATCTGATAAAGAATGTGGATGAAGTCTTTCATGGAAAACGGGTTGGATCTGATAAAGCCATGCTCAGTAGTTTATACAAATATGTCCTCTTAATCAGGGATCAGTTGCAGGTATGAACCACTTGGATTTTTCTCGCCATGTTTCCTGCCACTGTACTGTGGCTACTCTCTAATTTGCTGCAAATTCTTAAAGTAATTGTAATTGTGGATAAAAACCATTGGTTCCTTTACTTTTGGCTTCTAGTAAATAATGCTTGTTGAAGTAGTTTGTCTCAATCGTTTGCATATCATGAAATTATCCTAGGACTGCCTTCAGCCTTCACTCTCTGATGCTTGCATCTTCCCTTCCATCTCGTTGTGGTGCTAGGATTGAGAGGATGGTATGTTTGAGAGAGATGCTGATAGATCTTACTTGCATGAGAACTGAAACAAAGATCTCAGTGAAGGAGCAAGTGAGCTGCTTATCTGGTTGATATGCCGTGGGATCAATTTCTTTCACACCGTAGAAAAACAACTGGCAAAGGGTACTCGAATGATCTTGTGTTGCTCTTGAGGGTTTCTCCTATCTTTTGTTTGCTTACTATTTTCAGTAAGCTTATTACATGGGTCATGTACAACACCTTCTGTAATTTTGGCCTAAATGTGTATATGCTTCGCACATGAGTTTTACAGTATCCACTATTATAGAATGGATGCACTGAAATGGTTGTTGGCATCGATGAATCACCTACTAGATGCCTTCATTGCTGTTGATGTGAGCATATTAGTCAGTGTTACTTCATTTTTGTCTGCAGATTCCAAATGGTATAGCCCGGATCGGTTGATCAGCTCAATAGCATTTTCTCCATCAGGCTCCAGCTTGGATATTCCCTGGATCTCGACAAGCTCATTGCAATAAATGATGCTCAAAAGCAACAATTTATAGAAATTTGGAAGATTCGTGATCATGCGTACCAAGTTGCAGTAGAACACATTCAGCTTCTCCAAACTCCTTGCGATCTCCGAAAGCATATCAAGCTGTAAATCCAGATAAGTCTCTGCTCTCGAGAAATGAGAGATTTGTGAAGGCCTTGGGAAGCTGCGTAATAGGGTTGTTGCTGAGGTCCAGTGTTTTCAAACAGGGTAGCCATTTGAGTTCCTTAGGATTGTATTGTCAAAAATGTTGCAGTCGCTGAGGGTTGAGGTCACCAATGAATATGGCAAAACAGAAACTGAAAACACGAATTTTGGTGTCTAACTTTTGAGTATCTTTGTTGTAGCTTAACTGTTTCTTCCGATCTTGCACAGTAGTCAGGCTTGTCCTCCCAATTCGATAACATCTAAGCACACCACAAACAGATGATCACAGCTTGGAATGCATGCAAAATATTCATGATCAATCAAACCAGACCATCAAAACTACATAAAAATAAAAAGCTCTTCATACATAACAAAAGTGGGGAAAGATGCAATGATCTCGACTTTCTCTCCAAATCCTGTCACCAAGATGACACCCTTATATCTTGGGTTAGACTGGTCTGATCATCCTTTACCAAATCCCTCATTATAGTTCATATAACGTGCTGCATATCTAAACCAGTCACAAACCAAATATTAACAGCATTATCCACAAGCAAAAACCATAACAATATGACAAAAGCCTGTGATTTGCAAGCTATCACCAGAAGGGGTATACAATTACATTGTCCTCCGTAACAAGTTGCAATGGAACAATTCAGTTTCTACAAGCTCATTGGGATTTCCGGAAGCAATCCAGCTGTTATATACAGATAAGTCTAGGCTCTCGAGAAACGAGCGAGAGATATAGGAAGACGTTTATGGGTTTGCTTTTCGATGGCGACAGAGGCTTGCGAAGCCACAGATTACTTCGCCTGTGAACAATTCATTGGAGTAATTTTGGAGACCGCCAGAGAAGGTGATCGCATAGACCTTTTGGTTCCTTCCGTCGTCGACCTCTGTTTTTCTTTTTTCTGAATCTTCTGAAGAAGAAAAAACTATTTTAATTTTTAATTAATAAAAAGGCAAACCACGATTTGGGTTACATGGAGAATGATTCTCCGTTAGTGTGGGATAGGCGGGTAGGTTTCAGAACTCAATACTCAAGTTTTGGGCTTGGGTCAATCAACTTCAACTATGCCACGCAGCTCCACGTGGCCCAATTATATTTCGCGTCACCGGTGTCGCACTTTTTATAGCGGCACCGTAGTGTTGGCCCTACACAATAAATAAAAACCAAATGAGAAAACTTGAAGCTCCATTTCAAATTTCTTGCCTCCAGAGTGAAAGTAGGAAGAGTAGATTCGTCTTCACGGTCATTTATTATTTTCTTATTTACAGAAAAAATAAATCAATAATGAGATTTGAACCGTGGTCTCTTCAAACATAGATAAGAAACATAACCAGTTACAATAAACACATTTGGGTGATCTTCTTCAATTAAAAACATACAGGAAGCTTAAATCTAAAAAATTATAAGACTTTTCCACCACGGTTAGCAACCGAAATGTCATTGATTCAAATATTGTATATCGAATTGCACTCTTGAATGTATCGAAGCGATGTAGAATTCTTAACATAGACTTAATTGTTATAACTACCATAAAGTAACGGCATTTTTAAACACAGAACTTTTGAGTGAATATGGGGCACATGTGTCTTTAAGAGGGGTAAATATGGAAATGTTGAGTGATGTTGGTTTGCCAAATGCGGAGGAAAAGACACTACTAATGTAACCGGGCCCAAATAGTGCCCCGACCCACTAAATTCTCAACCATCGCCGTCTCTCCAAACTTCTCATTAGACTCAACAACCGGCTAACCTCTTCTACCTCTATTGTTATGCTAGAGTAATTTTTGGAGGGATAAATATGGAAAGATTAAGTGTTGTTGGTTTGCCCAACGTGGCTGGAAAAGCCATTACTAATGTAAACGTGCCCAAATAGTGTCCGACCCACTAAACGCTCAACCACCCGGGTTACTTTCGCTACACCTAATATAATAGTGAAATGGGAAAGGTGTTTCCCCCATTACAAAATTCTTACATCCATAACAAAAGTAGGAAGGGTAGATTCGTCTTCACAATCATTTTTTATAGGAAAAATACATAAGTTATGGGATTTGAATTGTTATCTCTTTGAGAAAAGACAAGAAACATAATCAGTTACACTAAACAAATTTGTTTAAAATTTTTAAATTGAAAACATACAGGAAGGTTAAATCTGAAAATATCATAGGAATTTTTTTTATCACAGTTAGCTAACCCACTAACTCTCTCCTAAATATTTTTTTGGTATTTGATAATTCTATTTTCATACTTTTTTTATTTTAATTCAATTTTAATAATTAATTCTATTTCTATTTATCATATAAAAGAAGAAGAATTTTAAAGTCTCAAGCCTAATGTCATTGGTGCAAATATTGCACATCGAATTGCAGTATTGAATGTGTAGAAGTGATGCATAATTCTTGACATCGACTTAAATAATATAACTACCATAAAGCAAAAATATTTTTTAATATAAAAGTTTTGAGTGAATATGGGGCACATGTGTCTTTAAGAGATGGGTAAATATGGAAAGTTTGAGTGATGTTGGTTTGTCAAATGCGGATTGAAAAGGCGCAACAAATGTAAACAAGTCTAAATGGTGTCCCGACCTACTAAACGCTCAACCACTGCCGTCTCTCCAAACCTTCCCAACAGACTCGACAACCACCTAACCTCCTCCACCTATATTGTTACGTAAATCAATTTTTGGAGGGGTAAATATGGAAAGGTTCTTGCTTGGAGAGCAGACTGGTGGATGATTTAGCTTATTTGACAATAATGTATGTATCTTAACATCAGTTCATTTGGTTGATCTTCTAGGTTGACTTTTGAGTTGATTAAGATAAACAGTGTCCCGGGCTCCCAGGCTACTAAACGCTCAACCATCGTTGTCTCTCCAAACCTTCCCCTCGGACTCGACAACTGCATAACCTCCTCCACCTATATTGTTACACAAAGCAATTTTCGAAGGGGTAAATATGGAAAGGTTGAGTGTTCTTGCTTGGAGAGCTGGCTTAAGGGTTATTTAGTTTCTCTAACAATAATGTGTGATCTTTTAACATCAATTCATTTGGTTGATCTTCTAGGTTGACTTTTGAGTTTATTAAAGATATATAGCTATACTTTTTGTTGCTTTTATTATGATACTCCTTTTCAGTATCATCATTTTTCTGATTTGAAATGTTTTTGTGGTTAGTTTCCAGTAAACAAAGACTATTCTAATTAGTGTTAACATAGGTAATAACTTCAATCAAACCACTTTTATACAAATTTATATGTAAGAGCTGAGATCATTGCTAAATTGAACTATTCAAGCTATAATGTTGATCTTCAATATATAAAATATGGTTTCTTTTAAGTGAAATAACCTCATGATTGCAGATAAGTTTTTACAATATGATGTTTTGTGATAGTGGTCACTTGCTTCCAGATTTAAAAGTGAGGTTCTGATTACTACAATATAAAAAGTACGAGTGATAGTCATAATTGGAGCAGATACAAGATGGTTTGATATGCTTCTCTCTGCAAGGAATAAATAAGTGGTGAGCATATGTTCTCATGGGAAGGACAAACCGAACTCTTTGTGTTTGTAGTATAACATGTTGATATATACGCATGTCTAGACCCGATCGATTGGATATCTCCGCCTGAAATTTATTGATAGGATTTTTGCTCATCAAACCCGTGTGCCAAGTAATCTCCCTCCTTAATCCTTATATTTTTCTTAATTTGCACATGCACACCCTCATAGGAAACATGTACATAATTGTAATTTGGATGCCTCATTAGTGTTGTTTCCATAAGATTGTATTATATGAGGTGGTTGTTCTAGAATTGTGAATCGTGATTGTATCTCCTCTAAGAAATTGTCAAGTTAAGATATAAAAGAGGTTAACCTGAGCTTCCTCTTTAATTAAGATGGTAAGAGAGCAATGACCCACGTCAAATATATTGGGGGTTGCAATGTTTGAGAAACAGTTTAGCCTTCTTCAGAGCATCACAAGATCCTGATAGTATCTCAATCAAAGCAATTTTTGTTTTCATGCCTGATGTTTATACAAGTTGTTTACCTAGAGGAGAGCCCCAGCAAGTTAGCTCGTGGAGTTGTGACTCACTTCTACTGTCACCCTAGGAATTGGCCAAGCGTAACCACTTCCTAAAGCGTAGTATAGCGGGTTTGGGTTTAATTATCAACCCGAGTCCTAGATTTGATGACTACTCAGTGAATTCTTGTTATCTAGCAATGAAACTTTAATGCAAGTCTAAACTAACAAACTAACAAAGCAAGTAAACTGTTGTATTCAGGTTAAGAGAGGTCACCCGGATATGGTTCCCCCTAGACTGCAGTTAAGCCGGATTGTAATTACCAAGTTCAGTTTCTATGATAGTTATACTGCGGAAGGTTCTTAAACAGCCTGAAGTCACGACTAAAGGTCTTCAGACCCTCTCAATCTGAGTCTCTAGCGGGCGACTAACCTCCACCGGAGTAAACAGATTGAGGCCTTAACAAACAAAACCTCCACTACCGGAGTGAATCCGGTACAGAATAGTGAGTTGGTTCCTCGACTAAAGTCACCAACTCCCTACCTTCAATCAAGGATGCTCTATCAACCTAGGTAGATATTCTCATTCTAGGTTAAACAGAAACAATAGGAATTCGATCAGGATTCATGCCATTCAATCATTCAAACTTCAATCGAATATAATCAAATCATAGAATCAGTACTTGGGTTCATACAATCAAAGCCTAACATACAAATCTAGGGTTCTCCATACCCAGATGAATGGGAGAACTACTCCATGGATAAAGAAGCAAAAGCAAAATCAGACGCGGAATTCATACTGTGAAGGATGGATTCCTGCTTCTGGACGTTGATCGGCACTTCTCCAAGCTCAAACTGGCCTCCAATGGTGATGAAGATCAAGATAGGGCACTTGGAGACTCTTGTTCGTCGCTTTCTCTCTCTAGGAATCGTTCTTTCTCTCTAAAACTCGAATCCCCCCGACTTGTGGCTGGAAATTGGTTTAAAACCAGAAAATCCCGACTCACACGGGCAGGCCGCACGGCCGTGTGGCTCACCCAGTTGCCTGTGCGAGTCAAAACGCAGCGTATCGATTAGTTGAATTCCAGGCTTCTTACACGGCCAGGGTCGCACGGCCGTGCAGCTCACCCAGCCTGGCCGTGTGAACCCTCGCAGAATTCCACACGGCCAAACTGATCACTTGCACGGCCGTGCGGGTTGTGGGTGTGCTCGTGCGACTTCCTTTGTGACTTGCCTCGCGCCCGATCTTCGCCCAATCGACCCCGAACTCGCTCCTAAACCTTCATTCACTTGCCAGGACCTGAAATATCACAAACAAGCACAACCTAGCGTGAAATCGGTCTAAAACACGAGAAACCACATCTTAAACGGTGTAAGAACAGGGGTGAAAACATGTGTAATTAACGGTCTATCAAACTACCCCACACTTAACCGTTTGCTTGTCCCCAAGCAAACCTAACTCAAACCAATGCAACTCTCCAGACCTCTATAGCAACAAACAACCCAGATCGTAGGTAGAGGACTTCCTAGATCATTTAGCAACTTATGAGGTCAACCGACGCACAAGTCATCTCATAGCTTCTTCGGCGAGAGCACTATTATAGAATCGGAATCATGGCAAATAGTGAACAGAGGACAAATGAATTGTG